CATACATAAAACCATTCATACATAATATCTTTTTATGTAAGGTATAAACGATTACCGTACTGTATATATATATACACATTGCGCACCTATACCTTCCTTTCTTTATTGCATATGATTGTATCAATTAGATAGAGAGAAAAAATTGTTTAATTTTTTTTTTGATCCTTTAGCTTACCCTTGAATCCTATCTCAGGCACAGCACCTATACGTTACAAATGAAAACAGAGAGAAAAAGGTTAGATATATTTAAAGTTATATTAAAAAAAAAAAATTAATATTAAGTGTATATACTGTAGTATGCAATTGTCACACTTTTTGAATGCAATTTGTTTTTTTCGATGCAATAAAAAAATAGTTGGCATATGTTGCACATCTCATGCTTTTATTTATTTTTTTTAATATTTTTTTTTATTTATTGAATAATCAATGGCCAGTATGTGTGTGCACCTTATGCTCTCTCTCTCTCTCTCTCTCTCTCTCTCTCTCTCTCAAACTGACAGATCGGGTAGGGGAAGGGTAGACATTTTTTTGGTGGTGACCGGATATATTCAGGCTAACCGTCTAATTTATAGGTCTATAATTTGTCTATGAATCATGAATATTGAAGTAATTATATTTAATAATATTACTATTTGAAATATTAACCCTTATATATATATATAAACTGTATATACCTAACTCATAGCGAGCGTTAATAATTAATGATAATTTAATGTTTCACCACCAAAAAAATGGGTTCAGACATACAGTATAATCAATATATACTGTATATATATTTATGTCAAAGGCCTCGGGCATTGTCTCTCTCTCTCTCACATAGTGAGTGTATCTTATATATACATATATTTAATAGCATTGATTTAATTTAATGATTACACACACACACACACACAATGTAGTTATGATTTTTTCAAGTAAAGTAAAACTCAACGATAAAAAACAACATATTAGCGATTCATTTATGTGATGTGTATATACATTATATTATAAGTTGTCTGTTAAATACCTTTAATGTAATCGTCATCAATGAGAGTGCACTCATTGCTGGGCTCTTCATCTACCTGTTCATCAGAGAAGAAAAAATTTCAAATAAATAAATAAATAAAATAAATAAATAATAAATGAATAATAAATACAATGCATATCATTAAAATACATTCTGGTTGTTATTTGCATTAATATTTCGTTAATACTAATTATTATATGTTAGAGAGGATGACATCTAATAATTAATAAAACCATTATTTATTACAGTATATATACTGTATATATATATATATAACCGCTTAGTGGGTTGAAACTACTCTATACTGTATATATAATATAAGGTAAGAGTATCATCAATATTATCATAAAGTTTTATATTATCATAATGTATATATTTATATGTAAAGTATTGTATCATATATAAGATAAGGTACAGTATTACTACTACTATAAGGGACAGGTAGGTATGGGATGTGTTTTTTATTTAAAACACATGGCATTCAAATCGATACTAATTCTTCTTAAAAATTATTCATTTCTTTTATTATTATTATTATTATTATTATTATTATTTTGTAGCTCTTATTCTCTGATCATCTCAATTGTATGGCTGTTACTAAAGAGTAATGAGTGAGTGAGAGAGAGATAGAGTGAGTGAGAGAGAGAGAGAGAGAGAGAGAGAGAGAGAGAGAGAGAGAGACTGTAAAAAGTGCTCTCAAATAACTTTTAACTGAATAATCAAAACCCGTGAGAACCTGGAGCTATACATACTATATTAGGACAGCAGTAGGATAAATGAGAGTGAAATGAGTGAGTGAGCTGACAGGTATACCAAGGTATGGGTAAGTGAAATGAGTTAAACATTTTTAAGAGATGCAGTTACACCAGTGCAATGCACTGGTTGTTTCACTAAACAAAAAGGTAGGCTTCAAGATCAACATTTGGGGTTTAAACCCGGGTAGTAGTAGTGGGAGCTTCACATTCAACCCCTTCTCTCTCTCTCTCTCTCTCTCTCTCTCTCTCTCTCTCTCTCTCTCTCTCTCTCTCTCAAGAATTGTATCACTGGATTCATCATTCATGCCATCCATATATACGATATTGAAATCAATGGTGTGTTTTCACCCGTTGTTTAACCCCTTTTGTGTTGCGCTTCTTAGGACTTCTCTCAAAAAAACCCTTTCACGGAATCGGTTAATAGAAATATACTGTATATATATTTATATATATATATATAAATTATATATACATAACTATAAGGAAAGGGTTACCAGAAGTGAGAGAAAAAAAAAATCTAAAAATTTTTAGTGAACAGGCAGTAGTAAGCAAAGGGTTTACCGTTTTATGTAATAATAATATAATAGTAGTAATAGTGTAATACAGCATAAAATATTTTGTAGATATTTATATATAAAAGTGATGTAAATATATATATATATATACACGAAAAGGTAGTTCAAAGGTAGCCTTCAATGTCAAGGTTAGCAAAAGGGTGGGAATATTTGGTAAGAGAGAGTTCAATACTATCCATATACTGTATATATATACTGATATTTGATGGTAAGTCCTATGGGAAGTTTATATCTAAAAATACATGTCCACTAACCCTATTCAATGATATAATAGATGCAAACAATTTAAGCAATGTTATTATTTTTTCAAATACGGTAATGTATTTTTTAGCTATACTTTATATACAGGTACAGTATATATATACTGTATACAACACTAAATGTATAATATAATGATTACATTTTAAATCCATGAGACATATAACACATACAATCCATTTATAATACCTGTCCTTCATATATAGATCTACTGTATATATTGTGTGTGTGTATTCACAGTTACTATTATTATTAGTATTGTACCTGGCTTATGTATGTAAGTGCACTGGTAAGACCCTAGTTTATATTGCACACAGGTAATAATAATAATAATAATAAAAATCACACTGATCACTTACTGTTAAAGTTATTAGGGAAAAGGGTTCCACATGGAGTTCCGCCAGAGTCTTACTATTATTATAGGTCTCAAGTGGTCGACTATTTAGTGACAAGTGCTGGTCATAAGTGGCCACTTTGAATATATTCATTATCTGACAAAAATAAAAAAAAATAAAAGTATAATTATATCATTAAATAATATCTTAAATATTTACAATTGTATAACAAAAATTGCATCAAAAATTTTTTTTAAAAATAATTATAAATGCAATAAACAATTTTTTTAAATTATAATTAGTATAAATCTATGGGTAGTTTTTGAGAAAAATAAAATATAAAATCACATAATAATAATAATACTGTATTATTATTATTATTATTATTATTATTACTATGGGATTACAATTTGCTTGTTAATTGTATAATAATTTTTTTTCCAACAAAATAAAATAAGTTTTTTTAAAAATACTATACAGTATAGTGTTGTTTACCTGTACTTTAAGATCGAGTAGACTATCAGTTGATGAGACTTTGATTTCTTTTTCATTCTTGTTCTTCCTTCGGCGGGAACTCCTTCTCAGGCCAGCCATTTGCTGATGGTTTGTCTGTATAGTATTGGTCACGCCATTGGTCTCTTCGGTCTTCAATTTTTTGCCATTTGTTTTCTTTATTATAAGAAAAAGAAGGAGAAGATGAATGCAATTTAATAATAATAATAATGATGAAAAAAATACGGATATATTATAGAGAAACAAAAATATATAATATAATTAAATATTCATTGAGTATTCATGAGATTTTTAATAAAACATAGGGTTATGTGGTTTTTAGATAACGAGAGAGAGAGGGGGGGGGGGGGTTAGCGATGATGATGACGATGGCCTACCAAATGGTATGAATCACCGCTGATCTCTTGGTTTCCGTGCGAATCCTCTTCGGAATTGCTTTCATTGTTCTCAACTTTGCGGACATAAATTGGCTGATTCTTGTAAGTCAGTCGATCTCTTTCTTGCTGAAGACATAGACTTTGATAGCACGACTCGCAAAACTCTTTGGGAGTAAATGGGAGTAAAATAAAAATAAAATTAATAATAAATATATATATATATATATATATATATATTCACGACATAAATCAAATTTAATTTGTTTGAATGATTAGCTAACTATAACTCTCAATGGGTTTCACAAATTGATATCTCATATAAAAATCAAACTCTATATATATATATATATATATATATACAGTATATATAGTATTATATAATAAACTTATATAACAGTAAATACTATGGGTATTATATGGAGGGTTAACTAATACAACACATATACTGTGTGTGTGAGATAAAAAACAAAACACAAAATGATGTTATAATGCTTTTTTATTACGGCTATTATTACAAATCATAGCCACGATTGCCTACTACTATGTATTAGATAGTAATGCCGTGCAAAATGCTATACAAACAATCACATATCTAATATGATTTTGATGACTTTTTGATTACTTTTTCCATATTTAAAAAAATACAGTATAAACTATATTGTAGGCACTGGCACACACACACACACACACACACACACACACACACACTCATCAAGGTCTCCTAATCATATCATATATATATATTTAATGTTATAGATTTATATTTGCCTTAAATAATATTTTGAATGTGCTTTTAATTTTTATAATCTATTTAAATTCAATATAATATTTGATAAACCATTTGAATTTTAAAAATTTTAAATCATTTTTTTTGTTTGGTGTATAAATTTGCATATCTATATGATAATCTATCTTCACAACTATCCACACAAAAAAATGTCTTAAAATATGCTAATCATGTGTCTGTGTGTGTGTGTATGATATGGATCCACACACACATAACACACAAATATATAAGTAATACCTGGAATAGACATAATGGATCTCATATTGTTTTCAATGTCATCGATGAGAAAGAACTCGATGGTCGAGTCACACGAGTAGAAAGTGTTGAGTGCATCCCATTCCTCATTGGTAACGATCACAAACCTTTCAGCACACAAACCAACCAACCAACAAAAAAAACATATAAATGGTTACAAAATTGCTTATATATCTTATACACAAGTATATTGATAACGGGTTGGGGTGGGGGGCTATTTAAGTGAAAAAAGGGTACATATAAAATAAGGTCTCTCTCTCTCTCTCTCTTTAAGATAGACAGACAGGCATTCATATAGATAGATAGATATAGATAGGCCGCTCATACATACTTGCTATCGGTGCCGATAATCTCACTATAAGTGGGATATAAGAACCTTTGATGAGCGCATAATAGGCCGCTGTTGTCAATGGCTTCCGGCGGCGAGTTTCGCGACGGATCACTAATAAATAAAAAAAAAAGTTTTATATATATATATTGTTTGTGATGACAAAAAACAGATGATAAGTCATATCATTTTTTAAAAAAATAAAATAAATTTTATTAGTAAAATAAATGGTTGTTATCTCTCATGTTTTTTTATTGTTGAAAACATTTCAGCTAAAAATAATAAATACTTTATTGTGTTTTTTTTCGGGTAATATTATTATTATTGAATAAAAAGTTCAATTTGTTGTGTAATTTTTATTGTTGTTTAAAATAAATTGCATAATAAATTGTTATGAAATATATGGTAATTTTTTTCTTCTTTTATTCATTGATATTGTATGTTAGGTTGAGATTAAATAACATATATATTGTATTTTAATTTATAAAATTAATAAAATATATTTTTTTTAATTATTATTATATAAAATTATTTATATTTTTTTGTAAATTTCCAATAACCCCATATCTAAACCAGATTTTCTATTAATTTAATTTTAATCAATTCGAGAGAAAAAAAAAGTTATATAACAAAAAATAAATATATTATAGATACTGTATCTAAAAAATTTTTGTGGATAACACACACACACACATACATACACACACAGACACAATCAACCAACAAGAAAGAGATTGATTAAGTTTTTAGTATCTATCTCTATATAGGAAAGTCTAGGTATGTGTGTGAGAGCACTGGTATGTTTCGTTAGGAAATTGTGGGAGATTTTATATATACACTATACAGTATATATGACTTTTCAAAGCTCATACATAACATATATGGCCTAACAATTGGGTATTGTTATATTATATAACAGTTGACGACATGAAGCATCCCATGTCTATGTGTAGTGTGTATTATACAGTATAATTGCTATACATGTGAAAAATGCATTTTAATTTTTACGTATATTTAAAACTTGTAATATATATATATATATATTGTTTTTTATGATTAATTATACAGACATTTTCGAGTAAATGCTATATGAATTTCTCATATATACATATAAGATGATAGTCTCTCAATAATAATAAAAAAGTAATTGAAAAATAATTAAGAAAATGAAAAATAGCCGACAATTGATTATTAAAGATAGATAGATAGATAGATAGATAGATAGAGAGAGAGAGAGAGAGAGAGAGAGAGAGAGAGAGAGAGAGAGAGAGAGAGAGAGAGAAATCAATGAAAATGATAGGCAAACAACTGTGTGTTTGAGACTCCTTTTAAGATTATATTCAATATTATATTATATATAATATAAATGAATGTCAAGAGATGTGCAAAAATACATTATTTAGTGAATACACTATTTTTTGGTTTCAAGATTATGATCGCTATGTTTTGTGTCTATATGTGTGTGTGTTTTGCACTGTAAGATGTGTAGTCAATATAATAATATATATAAAAAGATATATATATATATATATATATAAAGAAATATTGGGTGTGTTTAGTGAGATATGGATAACTCATAGCTTAGGGTGTCATCAATCAAATGCGGTCGCACTCATAAGATCTAAACTCATTTGACCCAAACTTATTTGACCCAAATCATTTGACCCAAACTTACTTGACCCAACTCATTTGACCCAAACTCATATGACCCAAATCACTTGACCCAAACTTATTTGACCCAAATCACTTAACCCAAATCACTTGACCCAAATCATTTGATCTAAATCATTTGACCCAAATTACTTGACCCAAATCATTTGACCCAAACTTATTTGACCCAAATATTATTTTATTTTTTCAAACTATATAATATATATAAATGATACAAAAATTAATAAAATAATAATCTAAATAGTTATAAAATTTAGAACTTATTAATATTTATTTACTGTAAATAGTATTACATATTAATTTTTAAAAATATTATATAAAAAGCCAGAGATATTACCAATTGGTTAAAAAATGAATATGGAATAAATATTAATGTTCTAAATTTTCTAACTATTAAGTTTTGTATCATTTATATATATTATATAGTTTGAAAAAATAAAATAATATTTGGGTCAAATAAGTTTGGGTCAAATGATTTGGGTCAAGTAATTTGGGTCAAATGATTTAGATCAAATGATTTGGGTCAAGTGATTTGGGTCAAGTGATTTGGGTCAAATGAGTTTGGGTCAAGTGATTTGGGTCATATGAGTTTGGGTCAAATGAGTTGGGTCAAGTAAGTTTGGTTCTAATGATTTGGGTCAAATAAGTTTGGGTCAAATGAGTTTAGATCTTATGAACTAGACCCAATCAAATGGCATGTCATGAGAAGCATTGCATACATAATACCAGTGCATCTCTCTCTCTCTCTCTCTCTCTCTCTCTCTCTCTCTCTCTCTCTCTCTCTCTCTCTCTATTCCTTTTATTATTAGTAGTGATCCCCAGATATATAAGTCGTCCCCAAAGCCAAGTGAGAACAGTTGACTACAAAAAATTTACTACATTTTTACAAATATAAGATAACCACAAAAAATTCTGTCACACTGAAATGTATCAACTTTAAGTTATTCCTGTGAAGCTACTGTTAATGATAAAAATGCAATTCTTTTTTATTAAAATAAAATGGTTATGTGTCTTTAAATTTTATAATTAAAATTTTTAAAATTATTTGTTTTAAAGATAAAATGGCCATTTTAATAAATATGATCCAAAATTTACAAATCATAAATTTTTAATTTAATTATAATTTATATGATTTCATCATAAATTATCATTTTTAATTTCACAATTCTATAGTGGTTACCTTAGTGATTATTTAAAAAAATTATCAAAAATTAATAAGATTTAATTAAAGCTTTAAAGACGATTATTAGTAAATAAGATGAGATAAATGTTAAGCGATAATTAAGTTTTAAATAAAAGTTAAAAATCAAATTTTTTATGTCCTCTATTAAACAATATATTCATCTTCTATTATAACATTGTTTTAGATTATTTGTCATAAATTAGTAAAAAATACTTATAAATTAAATAATAACTTTTTGTTATAAGCTGAATAAAATGAATTTTTTTTTAATTTTATTTATAACTTAGTCTTGAAGTAAGATAAAATAGATTTTTTGTATAAAATATAATTCTATGAGTCTCTAAATATGATTAATAAAAAATAAAATATCTAAGTTAATTATAATTATAAAATTTTGGCAATTAATCATCAAATTTTAGTAAATTGCAATATTTATAAAATAAGTTATTAAAAAATTAAAAATATTTATCAGTTTAATAATTATTATATAAATTAACATTTAATGCATAAATCTATAAATGATTTGATAAAATTTAGTGATGTTTTAATAAAAAATAACTCAAATAATCTTTTATCACAATATTATTTTAAAATGTGTTACTAAATGATTAAAAAAATAGTTGAAAGAGTTGGGATAAAAAATTATTGTTTATTCACTATATAACCCTGTTAATATACTAGCAAAATATCCTTTAATTTTAATTATAAAAAAATGTCTAGTTTATTTAAAATAAATAATTTAAGGTTATGTCAAAAATGACTTAATTTCTTTTTTTGCTAAATAAGTTAAGAAATACTTTAAAAGTAAAAATAATAATTTCTATATACATTGCGTAATAATTATTGAAGATGATGGAGAAAATTTTAGTATTTAATTGTCTTTAGTTTTTAAGAAAATTAACTTTGAAAATTCATTAAAACCATGACAGCTATTGTTGTGATTACCTTATATATATATATATAAAAAAATTACTCCAAAAAAATTATAAACTTTATCTCTTTTATAACTTAACTTTTTTTTACATATATATAAAAACTTAAAATGCTATACAACTTACAGTACCAAACAGTGTATTACATATATAACTTATAGACATTTAAGTACTACCGGTATGTTATACACAGTACAGTATATATATATATATATATTATAAAAACGATATATTCTTTGTATATAATTTAGACAATTGAAAAAACATTAATTTTTTTATGTAATAATAACTTTTGTTTTGTTTTTTTTGTTGTAAAAAATTATATTCAAACTTTTTTTTTGTAGAAAAAAAAACATTTTCAAATTTCATTGATATTCATAAACTTTCAATCGGATTAGTGTATGTGAAAAAAATAATGTTTGATATAATTTTTTTTTAAAAAAATTGTACTATAATTTTGCAACTTTTTAGCAAAACAGATACCAACAAAAAAATTATAGTTTTTATATTCAAAAAAAAAGTTATAAATATTAATATTTAAGATACTCTACTAGTATTAAGCCATTAACTACTAGTATTAGATAAATACTGTATTATACAAATCAAAATATAAAAGTATTTATTATTTAAATATTATTAAATTGTATAACATATTCATTTAGAAATTTCATTACAAATAAATAATATATTTTTCAAATAATATCAATAATAATAATAATAATCAGTCAATTAATCAAAATATATATATTTCCGATTAAAAAATAAATAAATAACTAAATAATCACTTACTTAACAAACTTTTTCCATGAAATAAGAAACTTTCGGCTCAATGCATAGTATCGTTGGGCGATCTCCAGCTCATCCCATAGTAGTCGATGTCTTTCAGCTGACAGATGAGGTAATCGTAACTTTTGTATAGTTGCCATCTCTTTGTGCTGCGACTTCAGGTGCTCGTGTTCTAAGTTAAGCAACTAAACAGCCCAACCCAACCCCCAAAACATATATATATATAGTTATTAATAATTATTTTTTATATAAAAAATTTAATTTTAATATACCGATTACCATCTAATGATATTATATTTTTTTTAAAAAAACTAAAATTATTGATAAATTAAATTTTTACAAAACACTCGTACATTACACTGTTCACAGACAAGGCTATCACTGGTGAATTGATGGGCGTCTGGGAAATGGGATTTCAATGTCTGCCAAACCAGTCGACTAACTAATCGACGTTTGTTATCATCGGTGGTCAACTGACCTATTGATATGATAGAGTATCCAATTGATGGGGAAAAAACATATACAAAATATATAATTATTATTATTTTTTCATAAATCGAAACAAACAATAAATTAATAAATAAATAAAAGTTATTATACAAACCATGAACACAAATAATATCATCGTTAAAACCAATTAAATTATCGCTATTATCGCTATCATTATTATTGTCGATCACTTCGACAGAACTGTCCGATATATCTAATACCCCCCCCCGGGAAAAAAATAGTAGATATTAATTAACCGTAAATACCCGTCAAAAAAAACCAAAAAACAAACCATTTTTTTCGTTGTCATTATTATTAGTATTGTTATTGCACTCAACTAATTTCAATTTCATTTGTTTCCATTGTTTTAGCGAATCTTTTCCGACCCAAAATGCATCGTCAGTCTGATGGACAGTAAACTTGAGCTGTGATGTAATCAGTTTGATGTCTTCGTCGATTTTTGCCTTAACCTGAATAAGTTCAACCTGTTTGGCCACACAGTCCATGCACAACGAATCGGATCCAATACGAGGTCCACCGCCATATCGATCGTAGAGGCGATCGGCACCCGATTTGGCTATACATTTGATCGACGACAAACATTTGAAATCAAGTTTGCCGTGACGACAGACCAGATCGTTGTTGTTCACCGGTTGGATCTGTTCGGTTGGTTTGGCACTTAACCATTGCATCAGCCATTTCTTTGATATGAATTCGTGTGGTCGCCGATCAGTAGTCGCCAATAAGTCGTTATAGATTTCTTGGATTTCCATCTTTCGTTTGGTAAATAATATCATTTCTTCTTTCTATATATAAAAAAAACAAATAAAATTTCAATGATTTCAGTAAAAGTTCTTCGGTTTTCAAATCAAATTCTTAATTACTTTTAACATCTTTTGTTCGGCAATCGACTCCTCGAACAGTTGTCTGTCTCTATCGACCGACTTAATCAAATAGTCCGGTAGTCCCCAGTTGTTGCAATCGGCAGACAAATCGGCATTTCGTTGCAATTCATTCTTGTAGACCAACATATAGGCATTGTTTGAATTATGAATAACATTGTTCTCTTTTTTGTCGTTCTTCGCGGTCGTCGATGAAGTGGTATTACCACTACCACTACTACTACTACTAGTAGTAGTACTGCCGCCATTACCACCATTTATCTCTTTATTTTCATCGTTGACAATGATATCGTCGGAATCCAGTTTTAACTTTTTTCCTTCAATTTGTTCCACAGATTCGTCGTTAAATTTGAACCAAAATCCTGTTTTCTCGTCTCTGATATGTGCGATATAGTGGCCAGAGTTGGCACTCGGACCGCGATGTATGAGAACAGCGCTCAAATGGTAAGTGGTCTGTTGGGGCGTCAAACTGTCAGCTGATTTCAAATATGGCCGCAAATCAAGAACATCGGGAAACTTGAAGAATGAGTTGAGTTTTCTGATACGCGGTTCGAAAACAAAACGCAACAATTGAATGTTCAAAACGGGCGGCAATTGTCTCAATTCGATATATCGGATGGCATCGCGTTTTTGGCCACACCTTCCGCAATAGTATTGGTTCGGGCCTTCGAGATTCTCGACCTAAATATAGAGTAATTTACAACAAAATCGGGTAAATATCGGTAAAATCAAATTTTTTCAATGAGTTTTATTGGTCACAAACAAACCTTTAGATATTGATTAAGACTTTCGCTAATGTCTTTACAGCCTTTGATATTAAGATCCAATTCATAGAACTGGGACTCACGGGACGACTGGGACTCGCAGGTTCGGCAACTGGTAATGTAGGCATATTTGCCGCAGTACTGACTCTTTATGACATTGCGTACGCCATCGTCTCGTTGTGACTGAAGCTTCTTCTCTACCAACGAGAAGAATAAATTGGAAAATTCGTGTGCGTCTTGTTGTCGATTGGCGTCCAATTCGAGACAATCGATAATCGGTTTGGGATCAACTGAATTTCGTACACCAAACTGCATCAATGCAAAGATTACTTGCAATTTGCCGATACAAGTCTTCGGTTCGAAATCTTCATCGTTGCCATTGTCTGGCAAATCATCTGAAGCTGTCAACTGATTGAGACGAATCTCGTCTTCGTCGTGGTCTGGATTCCATCTGTAGATCAGTGACCGAAATATCGGATTATGAAACCAAACCTATGAACAAAAAAAACGTAAAACAAACAGAAAAGTTTTTAGACACTGTTGTTGTGTGGACAACAAAAACAAAACATTTACCTGAAGAAGACAATTGACATAACAAGTGGCGCCTAAGTTCTTGAGTCCGACAAACGAATTGTCGGCCCGTTTGCCTAAATCCAGATCTGGGTCGACATCGTCCACATTGGCCGCCGCTGTCGAGCTGTCCGACGACGGCTGTGTGAGCCACGGCTTTTCGCCCAAACCGTTCAGACAGCGGATGTTTTGCGTACAGTTTCTGTTGGATCCGTAAAACACAGAAAGAGAGAGAGAGAAAAAAAAGACAATATTATATCATAACTCATGTCTGGGATCAACAAGAAGAAGTAATCAAATCAATCAATCAATTACTTGTTGGTCTTTGAACGGCAAACATCCGAATCGAGACGATAGACCCGCTGGACGTGTTGTTCGGTAATATCGCGGACGGTGCGGACGTTGGCCGCAAAGTCAAAGCAATTGTTGGCGGCTTTAGTCTTGCGGCTCATAATCATCGGATGTCTTCATATGTAATAAGACATCGATGGACACCAATTGTCAGTAGTACCGATGGTCAACACTTTGGCTGTTTTTTAATTAATTAGCGGTTGGTTTGAATTTTTTGACCAATTGTTGTCCTGAAACCAAACTTATCGGTAACTAAACATATATTTTATTTTATTTTTTGCAGATAAACGATATGACAATTGGTTTCACAAATAGTTTATTATAAAAACATAAACACAAAAAACACACATAAAGTACAGTCAATATACTTATAGTCAATACATACGTAACAAACAAAAACTGTAATGCAATGTATAGTAAAAACTGTTTCATTATAAACAAAACCAAAACAATAATGGCCACCATACACAATGATACCCTTATTAACTAAATATTTTTGACACTACACTTAAATTATGTTATCATATTTATTGCTATTTATAGCTATTGTGTAAGCAATAAATATGATAACGTAATTTAAGGGTAGTGTCAAAATAGTTAAATAAGTATATCATAGCGTGGCGGCCATTATTGTTTTGGTTTTGTTTGTAATGAAATAGTTTTTTTAAACACACATTCAATTCAATTCCAATACATTATTATTATTACTATTACTAGTATTTACTGTACTTTATATCTGTATTGTATTATCGACTCACAAATACATTGACTCTATGTGTGGGTCACTCTATCAGTGTGTTGTTAGGGTTGTCGTAAATCATGTGACCGTATATTACTTTTTTATAAAAAAAAACATATAGAAATAATACAATTATTATTTTTTACTACATTAATTAATAAAATTAACTTATTAATTTTTTGTTGTAACATCAACATTAAAATAAATTACAACAAATATTAATAAATAAATAATAATTTAACGCTCTGAAGTCATTCAAATTTAGCTATTTTTACCTTAAGTGACCAGATTGTTATGGCGCGTGTTATTAAATTAATTTTAGACCAATCAGAATTTAATCTATTATTAAGTTTTCAACGGTTTTAGAATAATTACAAAAATTTTAAAATATACTAGCCAAACCTATTAAATGTATGATAATCATATAAAAAGAAGTTGAGGATTAGGTCATATTATCATATAATGGTAATAATAATTGAAGAAGTTGAGGAATAGGTCATATTATCATATAATGGTAATAATAACTGAAGAAGTTGAGGAATAGGTCATATTATCATATAATGGTAATAATAACTGAAGAAGTTGAGGAATAGGTCATATTATCATATAATGGTAATAATAACTGAAGAAGTTGAGGAATAGGTCATATTATCATATAATGGTAATAATAACTGAAGAAGTTGAGGAATAGGTCATATTATCATATAATGGTAATAATAACTGAAGAAGTTGAGGAATAGGTCATATTATCATATAATGGTAATAATAATAGAAGAAGTTGAGGAATAGGTCATATTATCATATAATGGTAATAATAACTGAAGAAGTTGAGGAATAGGTCATATTATCATATAATGGTAATAATAATTGAAGAAGTTGAGGATTAGGTCATATTATCATATAATGGTAATAATAATTGAAGAAGTTGAGGAATAGGTCATATTATCATATAATGGTAATAATAACTGAAGAAGTTGAGGAATAGGTCATATTATCATATAATGGTAATAATAATTAAAGAAGTTGAGGAATAGGTCATATTATCATATAATGGTAATAATAACTGAAGAAGTTGAGGAATAGGTCATATTATCATATAATGGTAATAATAATTGAAGAAGTTGAGGAATAGGTCATATTATCATATAATGGTAATAAAACTGAAGAAATTGAGGAATAGGTCAAATATTTCATTATTTTTCAGCTATTTTTACCATTAGATGATAATTGAATTTAATTATCACTATCTTCAGCTATTTTTACCATTAGATGATTATTGGATCTAATTATCACTATCTTCAGCTATTTTTACCATTAGATGATTATTGGAGCTAATTATCACTATCTTCAGCTATTTTTACCATTAGATGATAATTTAATTTAATTATCACTATCTTCAGCTATTTTTACCCTTAGATGATTATTGGATCTAATTATCACTATCTTCAGCTATTTTTACCATTAGATGATAATTGAATTTAATTATCACTATCTTCAGCTATTTTTACCCTTAGATGATTATTGAATTTAATTATCACTATGTTCAGCTATTTTTACCATTAGATGATTATTGGATCTAATTATCACTATCTTCAGCTATTTTTACCATTAGATGATTATTGGAGCTAATTATCACTATCTTCAGCTATTTTTACCATTAGATGATAATTTAATTTAATTATCACTATCTTCAGCTATTTTTACCCTTAGATGATTATTGGATCTAATTATCACTATCTTCAGCTATTTTTACCATTAGATGATAATTGAATTTAATTATCACTATCTTCAGCTATTTTTACCCTTAGATGATTATTGAATTTAATTATCACTATGTTCAGCTATTTTTACCATTAGATGATTATTGGATCTAATTATCACTATCTTCAGCTATTTTTACCATTAGATGATTATTGGAGCTAATTATCACTATCTTCAGCTATTTTTACCATTAGATGATAATTTAATTTAATTATCACTATCTTCAGCTATTTTTACCCTTAGATGATTATTGGATCTAATTATCACTATCTTCAGCTATTTTTACCATTAGATGATAATTGAATTTAATTATCACTATCTTCAGCTATTTTTATCTTTAGACGATAAAAAGCCACTATATGTTAGCGTCACTTATTATAAGACATACATAACTTAAATTTTTAATAACTTATAGATAAAATTAAAATTCAATAATATTTAATTTTTTGTTCGATTCATTTTGATTGGTCAATTGGCTCTGTGCCGATGGCACTGTTTTGTCACCAAAGGAAAACATCGATTTGTGCCGATGGCACACGTTTGTTGTCAGCGCGTTAAAACAATATAATGCAATGGGGGGTAGGAGTGTCGATGATACATTTAGAATATTATATTATATATATTTTTAATTAATTATTTAATTATTTATTTAATTAAATTTATTAAACAATTAGTTAAACCAATTAAAACCAATCATTTTTGTTGCACAACTGGTTTTGTTGTTATTAAGTAAACCGTTTATTACATTTAATACACTGGTTATCCTTATGAGACATATGGCAACCCTAACTAATAATATTTATTATTATTATATAATTTTTAACGTAATATCTGTTAAGCTATCAGTCATTAGTATTAATAATATTTAATAATAATAAAAGTCTGTGTTTTATGAATACTATCAGTCAATACACACCTCTCTATCAAAACACTCCTCTTATTATTCCTCCTCTTCTTCTTCTTCTTATTCATTCATAAACTATTTCTTTACCACAAATTCATTCATTCAGTCATTGAATTGATTTGCCATTAAGCAGGTCTTCAGCTGCTATTTGTCTAGTCATCTCTTATAAGAAGAGTTTAAGAAGTGTCCAAAAAAAACACAAGAAGTGGTTTTTGAAAGAGAGAGAAGACATATCAAATGTCATCGACAAACAACAACAACGATGAGGACGACAAAAACAAGTCATCACTAGAAGACTCGACAAAAGTCAATGTCTTAGTCATCGATGGTGCCAACGATAGTGATAGTTGTTATGTTGTGTCCAACAATAAAAACAACGACAACAACACAGATGAAGAGGAAGAAGGTCTGAACCAAAATAATAATAATAATAATAATGACCATCAAAATGACGATCAACAACAACAACAACAGTTATCCTCCTCTTCGTCGTCTAATTCATCGCCTGAGAGGACAATAGGCGGCGAGTTTGTTGCCAAATACGATGTCTATTTGGGTCGCAGTGTCACCAAAAACGGATCCGTTGTACTGATTAGCGTCGAATCGATTCGTACGGAAGACAAACGCCAGTTCCGAGTTCAGCGACAGTACGAAGATTTTGAATATCTTCATCACTGTCTGATTACTGCCCAGAAACTTGACGGCCTAATTGTACCGCCGCTACCCGACAGACCGCCAATAGAGCCCGAATTAGCCCAACAAAAGTCACGCCGAGAGATGGGCACCGATTCCAAGACACTGATTGGCGACGAATTCAACAAAGACTGTTGGTTTCTGCAATACTATCTGAGACTAATGGTTAAACATCCGGTATTCGGTGCCAATCCCGCTATCGACCGATTCTTGACCCGCGACGAAGCCCCAGCCCGACCTAAACTTCGTTCGGGTCAAGGATTTCTATCGTTGATCACCAATTCGTTTGACAATTGGAAGCACAGTCACAAAGATTGCGACGAATTCTTTCAGAAAGAACGCGATTTTGTCAACGAATACTCACTGTATCTGAAAGAGTCGTCCGATTCTCTCAATGCCATTATCTATGGCCGCCGAAAGCTATGTGAAGTACTGTCCCATTTGTCTGCAACATTGAATCTGAATCTTTGCAACGACAACAACAGCGATAATCATCGGAAATCCATTAAATTCTGTAATCTCTTTTCCCGAGGACTCGATGACTATCGTCACTGTCTGGACGTTGTCTCACATAACGATGAGGTAACACTGGGTAATACAATGAACTATTGGCACCGGTATCACGAATCGCACAAATCGATGCTATTCAAGCGTACGACTCTGCAGATTGATTACGAAACGGCTAACCGATTGCTGGATAAGGCATCGAAACAGACGGCCAGTAAACGCCAGGACGCCGAACTGGCCAAACGTGAAGCCGAAAAAGCGTTCGACGAGTGCAGCGAATTGGCCAGAATTGAAATCAAACGATTTCATCGCCAGAGGATTGAGGCCATTGGCCGACATATGCGATCGTTTGCCGAATCACAGCTCTGTGTCGCCAAAGATATGCTATGCGTTCTTCACAATTCAGTACAACAATTGAAACAATTTGATATATAATTAATTAATTAATTAATAATAACTAACTATAACTATATTGATAATGAAAATTGTTTTTTTCTTGTTTTAATTAATTGATTAATTAGTTTTTAATTTATTGTTTGTTTAATATATACAAATCAGTCATATTATTATTATATTATTTATTGATTTTACTTTCCCTCTCTCTCTATCTATTAATTGATTATATAGTATATCCAAAGATTTAATTTATTATTATTACTACTATATAATACAGTATTATTATTATAAATTAATTATTAAATTATATGTAAATTTAATTTAATTGAAAAAATATTTATCAATTGTTTTTTTTTGTTATTACTGTTGTTTTATTGTGTGTATATTTATTCAATAACAACAAAACACTCGGATTTATGTGTTTTTTTACACCAAATAATAATTTATATTAAAATAAGAAAAGAAAAAACATTCCTTTAAAATAAATATACGATAACTAAAAGATTTTATTTAAATTTTTTTAATTGTTTAATAATTTTTTTTTTTGACTACAGATTCCATTGGATTTTGCCATTGGAATCCATGACTACCTTTCCCTGAGCTACCAATTCCAGTGCCGGCGCATAGGTCTTATGTTCGACTTGTTTGCCCCGTTCGGTAAGCTTGTGGACAGTATCGTCCGATTCAACATTGACTACCGATTGTGCAATGATTGGGCCGGCGTCCATTTCGGGTGTAACAAAATGTACGGTACAACCGGTCCATTTGACACCAGCATCCAGTGCCTGCCTGTAGGCTTCAGTACCTTTGAACGATGGCAACAGTGCCGGATGAATGTTAACCATTCTACCTGTCCATTGCTGGACAAACTGGTCGGACATTATCCGCATATAACCGGCCAAACAGACCAATTCGATAGTGTATTCTTCGAGTAGTGTCTGTATTCTCTGATCAAACTCTTCCCGAGTTTCTCCACTCTTAACTAACAATCTCTTTGTCGGAATGCCTGCCCTCACAGCTCTGTCCAGTCCTTCCTGTGATTTAGTACTGTGACCGATGACCAGCGCTATGTCGATGGCAGTTGTGCTGGAGTTTTGTCCAACATAGTCGACAATGGCCTGAAAATTGGTTCCCGAACCGGACAACAGTACTGCTACTCGTTTCCGGGCAACTACACGACCCACTGTTGTTGTTGTTGTGGCGGTCAGTGGTGGTAATGCCGGAAAATTGTTGACAACTACCGGATCGCTACCGCGCGGAACAACATGTCCAACAATGTGCGCCCTTTCGCCGGTCGACTCGATCGTATCGACTACCGACTGGGCGTCCGATTTCGAGACAATCAAAATCATACCCAAACCGCAGTTAAATGTGGTCAGCATTTCGCGATCGCTAATATTGCCCTCCCGTTTCATCCATTTGTATATCTCCTGTACTGTCCATTTGGACGCATCCAGAACGACGCCCAAATGTTTCGGTAGAGTTCGGGGAATGTTTTCGATAATACCACCGCCCGTAATGTGCGACAGTGCCTTAATTTTGCCCGATTTGATAGCTCCGAGCAACGATCGGACATAGAGTTTTGTCGGCTCCAGTAGTACATCACCGAACGTACGGTTCGGATCAAACGGTGTCCTATCCGTATAGTTGACACCTCTTAGTGATAGCAATTTCCTAACCAAACTGAATCCATTGCTATGGACACCGCTGGACGGAACTCCGATTACAACATCCGTGGCTTGAATATCGACCAGTCGTGGCAATAGTGACTGGCGTTCGACAGCTCCGACCGCAAACCCGGCCAAATCGAATTCGCCGTCGGCATACATACCAGGCATTTCGGCTGTCTCTCCGCCTATTGTTTGTTATTTAAAAATTGTATTAAAATTTACCGGTAATTATTGATTTAGTGTCCGGCGATGTAATTGATTACCTATAAGACCACAGTTTGATTCTTTGCATCCCTTGGCTATCCCTTCGACCACTTTGGCCGCCACATTGACCTCTAGTCGACTGCAGGCAAAATAGTCGAGAAAAAACAACGGTTCCGCTCCCTGAACCAGTATATCGTTGACACACATGGCCACCAAATCGATACCAACTGTATCCCATTTTTTGTACTCAATGGCCACTTTTAGTTTGGTTCCGACACCGTCGGTACCCGACACCAGAATCGGGTCCACATAACCGGCACTTTTCAAGTCGAACAGTGCACCGAATCCGCCGATCGATTCCATAACACCTGTCCTTTTGGTATTATCCGTAAACTTTTTGATATTGTCGACCAATTCTTCGCCGGCAACAATGTCCACTCCGCTGGCCTTATATGATAGGCCTCGAGGAAGTCTATCGAAAGATATATATATAAAAATATATGTTTTTTAATAAATAATTTTAACCAATTAAATGACTGAATTACTTGTCTAATGTTTTCTTTGCTATATCTTTGCGATGAAAACTGTTGTCAATTTTGATAAGCTCTGCGCCCATCAGTGCCCTATTGACGGCACTGTCCAAATCGTCGGCAACGGCCACCACTGTTAGTATTCTTCCGCCAGAATTATAAAACTTGTTGTCCCTGTACTGAGTGCCGCCATGAAAGACAAGTAGACCGGCTTTCTGGGCACTGTCGATGCCATCAATCAACTGGCCTTTCACAGGTGTTTCCGGATAGCCATTACTGGCTATTACAATACCGCACGCCGTCTTTGGCCGCCACTTGAGTTCAATTGATTGCAGCTGTTGTTGACTACAGGCATAGCATATGTCGTATAAATCGGACTCCAGTAACGGCAAAACCGATTGGGTTTCCGGATCACCAAAACGACAGTTAAATTCAATAACTTTCGGACCATCGCTGGTAATCATAAGTCCGGCATAGAGTAAACCGACAAACGGTTTGCCTCCAGTTCGCAAACCATCCACTGTTTTCCGCAAAATGTCTTTTTCGATAACAGCCATTGTCTTCTGGTCGACAAACGGATAGGGACAGTAGGCACCCATTCCTCCGGTGTTGGGTCCAGTGTCGCCATCGTAGGCTCGCTTGTGGTCTTGGGACGGAAGCAACGGTTTGACATCAATACCATCGGTAAAAGCAAATACCGAAACTTCGGGACCATCGAGAAGCTCTTCGACGACAACAGTATTGCCGGCCGAACCGAACGCTTTGTTTACTAGAATCGAATCGATGGCATCGCACGCTTCGGCAACACTGGCGGCCACAATGACACCCTTGCCGGCGGCCAAACCGCTAGCTTTGATTACCAGTGCCCTGAATGGAGCCGTTCGGACAAACTCTTTGGCTTTGTCGGCTTCGCCGTCGGCAAAGTTCCGATAGCGAGCAGTCGGTATCTGATGTTTGGCCATAAAATCTTTGGCAAACGATTTGTTGCATTCAATTTGTGCGGCCGCTCTTTCCGGTCCGAAACAGGCAACTCCCAGCCGATTCAGTTCGTCGGCTATGCCTCTGTCCAACGGATCTTCTGGACCGACGATAACAAGACTCGGTTTGTTCTGTTGGCACCAATCGGTCACTTGTTTCGGTATTTTTATATCTAAATCTTTTTTTTTGTTGAAAAAAATGATTGAAAATTGTTAGTCAAATATGAATTATTATTATAATTTTGTTGTTGTTGTTGTTATCTAACCTAATGTGATAACCCTGGGATCCATTTGTTTGATACCACCGTTTCCTGGGGCCACATATATCCTCTGGACCCGCTGCGACTGTATAAGTTTCCAGGCCATGGCGTGTTCCCGGGAACCGCTACCCAAAAGCAATACCGTTTCACTCATAATTTACCGGTCAATTTGGCACACAATTTGTTATTTAATCAAAAAAATAATTAATTTTTGTTATGTTTTGTTTTAAGACACTAAAACCCAATTTAAACTTAAACTTATAAGTAGTGATGTTAGTGACGATAGCTATGATTGCTTATTATAAAATTATAATTAATCATTACTAATATATAGAAAGTTTTTTATTTAATAATTTTATTTTTTTGTGGATAAATTGAAAAACATTTGATGTTTCCAATAATAAAATCTTGTTGTTTATACAAACAGCAGATTTTCATTATCAATAACTTTTGACTTAAAGATAACCGTTGTGTATGTATGTATGTATGTATGTGTGTGTATGTATGTGTGGTGTGTGTGTGTGTGTATGTATCTATGTGTGTGTGTGTGTGTTTCAGCCTTGAATACAAAATGATAATCCTTGAATAAATCACACAATTTTTTTCAAACTAGTCTCTTATCAGTTTATCTATTATTTTTTAGTTTATAAAAATTACTAAAAAAATATGTATTTTTAATTAACAAATTGGTATATTAATTAATAAAAAATTTAGTGTAAAAATAACTGTATATTACGTATATATTAGAATTCAAGTTATTATTATTATTTTATTAAATAATTAGCTATCAATTAATTGTTTCGATGCATATATTAATTAATTTGATAAATTATTTTGAACTTTATTATAAATTGTTACTAACATTATTATTTTTTTTTATATCAATTAATATTATATATATCAATATATTGATAGATAACACAAATAATATTATATATTATACTGTAGTATATGAGGGGTATTCCAATTAATAAAAATTTTTTAATCATAATTTTTTTTATAAAGTACTAGACATAAGTGAATTTGATTAATTAAAAAATTAAAAGATTATTTATGTGTTATAATTATCAAACAATTATATATATATATCACACATATTTAGTACTAAACTATAATACAGTAATTACTTAGTTTATATAACTTTACAATAATTATTGAATTATGATTTGATTAGATTAGAAATATAATGTAAATGAGAGGGAAAAAACTTTTATTACATAATATAATAAAAGTATTACATAAGTAAAACATTTGTGTATTTATATCTGTGTATTAATTGTAATAATAATAATAATGATAATACTTTTAAATTAATTACATAATACTGAAAACTAAGTCAAATATATGACATTTTGTAAATATATAATATTTTATTTTTTTTTAATTAGTATTTTTATGTTATATATTGTATATATTTTTAAAATATTACTATTAAGTAATAGAAAAAATAAAATTAACAATAGTAAAATTATTTACATTATTTAGCCACTATATATATAATAAATTAATATTATTAATAGTTGTCAATTATATTTAGTAATATAAATTTGTAATATTATTAAACATTATAATTTGTATTATAATAGTTTAGATAAACATTTTACTTCAATAAGGCTAACAAATATTAATTTTTAAAATTTTCTGTATAATCATCATTAATAATATTGTTTTTTTTTAAATTAGGTAATATTAGCTTTTATTTACAACTACTGTACTGTCATTATATTAAAGTATATTAAAAATACATATATTGTATTTTATGTATTTATTTTTTGTCTAAACTAAATAAAAAAAACTACTATTAAATACATATACTGTATGATCATCAGTTTTTTTAAAAATAAATATTAAATAAATGTTTTAATACTGTTATTACCAATTTAAAAAAAAAATTATTTATAATTTTGTAATTTTCACGCGTTTTATTAAAAATTCATGTTTCAAATACTATACAGTATATACCGGTATATATATTTTTCTACAATAAACTGGTTTTTGTTTGTTTGTTTAGACACCAGTAAAAAAAATAGTTGACTAATAATACATAATAATAATGTAATTTTATGTCGTGGTATTCAATCATAAAATCAATAAACAAACTAATTATATAAACATTATATACCTATAATATTACAGTATTACAGTACTGTATATACCTTACAAAAGAGTTTAAATGATTAGACAAAAAAAACAAATATTTATTATTTTAGTTTGTTTAATATATTGTAATTAATTACTGTAATAATAAAATTAAAACTAAAAGAAAAAATACTGTATAATACTGTTAATTTTTATTTGAGAAAAAAATTATTTTCAAAAAATTCAGTTTTAATTATTTATAATTTAGTATTATTTTCGAGAAAAATAATTTGTTTAATTATAAATCATATCAAACATGACTACAAATTTATTAACAAAAAGTCAACCAATTAATGTATATATCATATGATAATAATAAAAACCTTATTTATAATTTTTATTTAGTTTTATTGTTATTATCATTATTTTCCAGATAACCGATGATTTTCCCGGATATCCAATACAATCGTTTAATATAAGTCCACATTTTGGCCAATATTTGGAACGGGTTCTCATACCGGGCGGTCTAATACAGGACAGGTATGTTAATTGTAGAATAAATATATACAGAATATTCTTATAATTATATTCAAAACAATTCAAATGTCAGAATCGAAAGACTTGCCTGCGATGTGGCCATAGATATGGGCGACCAGTCGTTCACTGCTGTCTGTGTACTCAAAGGCGGTCACCAATTCTTCAGTCAACTGTTGGATCAAATCAAACAGTTCTATCGGTACAGATATGCCTCTACCACCACAACCACTAACAATGGACAGTCGGCTCATCTCATTGATCAACGCATCGGTGTTGAGTTCATACGAGTGAAGAGCTATGAAAACGACAGTTCAACTCAAGACATTAGGATTACAGGTATCGAGTCGTTGGATGCACTTAGAGGACAGGTATGCTATTAGGACTTTTCGGTGTCTAACAAGTAATTTAATTGTGTAAATACATATATATACAGAATATACTGATCGTTGAGGACATCATCGATACGGGAAAGACAATGCAATCGCTGCTAAAATTGTTAGACGACTACCAATTGAAATCGTGTCGTGTAATCAGTTTGTTTGTTAAACGTACGCCACTAAGCAATGGCTATCGACCCGATTGTAAGTAACGTATATACTGTATAATGCTTCTGACCTACCAGTGCTTAATGATCTGATTTATATTAAATAACAATTAGATATCGGTTTTGAAATACCAAACAGTTTTATTGTTGGCTATAATATGGACTATAATGAACGATTCCGTGAGCTAAATGTAATGTATATATATACTACTAAGTAATATGTGAACCCAGACATGGGTTAAATCTAACTGTCCTCTTATTATTATTATTTACTGATCTACTACTATCTATAGCACGTATGCCTAATGTCTGAGACGGGTAAACAACAGTATAGATCATTGACGACAACAACAAAAATATGAATCAATTTTTTAAATATTTTTTAAGATAATTTGGTAACAATTTTCAAACAAACTTTAAAAGGTTTGTTTTATGGATTCTATATGTTTGTGTGTGTGTGTGTGTGTGTGTCTGTGTGTTGGTTTTCAAAGTGCGAATTTTAAAATTTTGATTTCAGATTTAGATTCTCCATCAAAAATAAGGTATAGAAGATCAGCATTGAAATTTTGATATCTCTTCAGGAACATAGAGAAAATGGCGGCCAAAGTACAAAAAATTATGTTATCAGATTTAATAAGCTTAGATAATCTTAAAAATTAAAAATATTATGATTCTATATAAAATTTTATTTTATATATACATAAAAATGGCTGCTAATATACAAAATTTATTAAATTAAAAAAATAGTATATTATTTACTACTATAGAATACAAATTTAAATTTAAACAAAAATAATGCACTTTTATATAGTAATATATAGTAATACATAGTAATATATAGTAATATATAGTAATATATAGTAATATATAGTAATATATAGTAATATATAGTAATATATAGTAATATATAGTAATATATAGTAATATATAGTAATATATAGTAATATATAGTAATATATAGTAATATATAGTAATATATAGTAATATATAGTAATATATAGTAATATATAGTAATATATAGTAATATATAGTAATATATAGTAATATATAGTAATATATAGTAATATATAGTAATATATAGTAACATATAGTACTATAATACATAGTAATAAATGGTAATATATATACATACAATACATACAATACATACAATACATACAATACATACAATACATACAATACATACAATACATACAATACATTAATATTACGTCAACATTTAATAATTACGTTAACATTAATAATTGCGTCAACATTAATAATTGCGTTAACATTAATATTACGTTAACATTTAATAATTTTAAATAAAGTAAAATTATTATTTCAAGTCTCAGTTCAAGTCGAGCCATCGAAGGGAATGTACTATCGTACTATGTACGTAATATTTATTTTTAACTAATCATATTACAGATTATTGTATTATATATTAATTGAATATTAAAATTCAAGTCATATTTAAGATCAAGACATTTATGATTATTTGAATAAAATGTCTACTATTAATATGTGCAACATCTGTCAATTGAATGTCGTACTTATTCAATTTGCTCTAATGGAAAAACCTTGTATTCACCGCTTTTGTCCTTCATGTTTGATGTCACTTATAAAGACTGCATTCGATCAATTTAAAGATCTCAACTGTGCATATTGTCGTAATTTATGGATGAATAAAAACGAACTTAATTTTGGAGTAAAAGCACATCTTCTTCAACATCCTAATTACTTTGATATTCTTGAAATTAATGTAAACAATAACTATAATATATATAATCAAAATATTATGATAAATGATCAAATCGTGTCTTCAGAAATTATTTTTATTGAAGAAATAATTACAATTATTGACTATGAAATTATAACTATTGATTAAATAATTTGTATAAATTTCATTAAAAGGAAATTAATTAAATAAAAATATTTTTGAAAAAATTAATTTGAATAATATTTTCTTTATTTATGTGATTACCTTTTTGTTGCGTCAACATTTTATTGTGTTATAAAGTAGTAATTGTAAGTCAAGTCATTTAAAATCTGTCATTTTAAGGCGAGCTATCGGAGAGAACAGTCGTAATTAGAATAAATTATTTATAAATCTAAATTAGTTATCTTTATTCATAATAAATATAAATATTAATATAAAATAATTACTTTATTTATGTGATTACCTTTTTGTAACATCAATATTATTATTGAGTCAACATTATTACGTCAACAGTTTATTGTATTATAAAGTAATAATTATAAGTCAAGTCATTTGAAGTCGAGCTATCGGAAAGAACAGTCGTAGCTATTATAAATTATTTATAAATTTAAATATGTTATGTTTATTCCTAATTGATATAAATATTATTTTCTTTATTTATGTGATTACCTTTTTGTTGCGTCAACATTTTATTGTGATATAAAGAAGATATTGTAAGTCAAGTCATTTGAAGTCGAGCTATCGGACAGAACAGTCGTAAGTAATATTATAATTTAAAAACGTCTTAATTTTATATAATTATTATTTTTAATTATTTAATAGATAAATAAATATGTCTGATTCACAAGATTTTGACGATGAATTAGATGCTATTCTTGCAAACATAGAATTTGATGATAACGGTAATGTTATTGATATAGCGCAAATATTTGACGAAGAATTTGATGAAAGCCTTCAAAATATTGAATTTAATAATTATGGTCAAGTTATGAGTATAGAAGAAATAGTTCATGATGTTTTAAATCAACTTGTCATTGATGTTTCTCTTGAAATTAATGCTTCTGAATCTTGTGAGGAAACATCAAACGAAACTTCTGACGAAACATCTGGCGAAACTTCATCAGAAATGGATTTTGAAGAAGAAAATGAATCAGATGATGAAATGGATGACGATATTGAAAGGGGCCGAAAATACCTCAACTTTTATATTGAATTTCTGAATATAATTATTAGATTTTTCATACATTCATAATTCAAACTTTATATTATTAATAGATTTGTAATTCAGAGTGAAATGATAGTCATATGAGAGAAAGAATTATTGATAAGTTTATCGAAAGTTTCCATGAATTACTTGATGTTCAGTTATTTTCCTATTATAATAATTTGTAATTTTAAGTAATTTCTATAATAATTTTTACTCTCTTGCCTACGCTTGAAGAAAGCAGTCGATAGACTTGTCAATCATTTTAAGGCAAACGAAACATTCAATTTAAATAATACTTCTATTTTTGTAACTAATATGTAATTAACATAATTAATAAATATATTTAATCATCAATTGAAGTGTGCATTGAGTGATAGTTTGTCTTAAGTGTGAAGTATGAGGGATATCGGCAGGTAATTGAAGTCAAGACAAAGGACCGCGACATCGAAAGGGTGATTACGAGAACTGCAATACTATCGGACCAGACATACTGTCTGAATTCGATCCCCGAGTACTTAAGTTGAGCTGAGCGACTGAGCTACAGTTCCTTGTAACTGGCCATAAAAGTCAGGCCCGTTACAAGTGGTGGAGGCGCCTGTTGTCCAAAAACAGAAGAAATAGAAATTAGAAGACAGCACAAGAGGTGGACCAGATTGTCTACAAAGAGGTGGACCAGATTGTCCGCAAATATTAAAAGAGAAAGACTGTCATTAAAAGAGAAGACTCAAGTATTGCAAAATAGAGATTAGAAGCCGAAACCGGAAGTTGCGAACCGGAAGTACAGCTTATAAGATGTCACGGGAATTTGTAAGAAATTTCTTAGCGATAAAAGAGAAATTGGGCGATAGATTCGATCCCAATATGACACTCAATGATATTTCGATGATTATATCTCATCACGAAATAGAATCGGATGAAGAATCAGAAGATACTGTCATTGAAAGTGCAGAAGAGAAGAATACGACGAAAGCTAAGAAATTATTAGAAGAAACGGGACTACAGAAAGAAAATAAGAGTATAGATGAAGAATTAGAGGAATTCTTTGGTACTACCGTTGCAATGGACAACGTGGACCTCGAATTCACAGAAATAGAAGGACTTCGAGAACAGGCAGACATATTAACTGCTTCTCAACTCGAATTCATAAATAAAGAGATTAAGAATACGGAAGAAAAGTTGAAACAGTTAAATGTTTATCAAACCCGTATAAGAGAGGGTAGACCTCCTATTAGTCCCGAAACGATGAACGAATTTAAAAGAAAATTAGAGACCGAAAAGTCGGCAAAAGAAAGTAGTCCGCAAATGCCTATATTAGAGGTACAGACAGAACCGAAAAAGACGGACAAAAGAGATTTTAAATCAGTTCAGAAGAAATTACAGTTCGAATCGACGACAATAGAGAAAGATAGACAACCGCTGGAACCGACTATTATCGAGAAACAGCCGTTGAAGACATCGATTACGAAACATATTAATGATACCGGAAATGTGATATATTCTGACAATGAGAAGAATATTCAGCAAAAGACGACTACAAATGTAGAGAACCAGATATCAGAAACCTTATATGCAAAGGGAGTATTGAAAGACTGGGGAATTACGAATAAGAAGACGACACAGTTTCCGAAGGATAGCCAATTTGATTGGATATCAACAGATCCGAAGAGAAGTGATAAGAGTAGATCAAAAGTCATTTCGAGTATAGAAGTACCGGATGACCAGATTAATGGAGAGATAGATAATTATGCGATAAATTCACCGCCTCGAAGGATAAATATAAATAGACAGAAACAATCAACACCAGAGAAAGAAGATCGAGAATCAGATCCGATGTTATTATTAGTCGATAGATTAGGAGAGATATTAGAAGATCGGAAAATGCCTAAAAGTCATTTTAGAAAAGCGCCGAAATTTAATGGCAAAGAAGAAGAAGCGAGCGAATGGCTAACCGATTACAATAGATTTGCGAAAACTCAAGAGTGGTCTTCGAGAAATAAAGTAAAGAATGTAAATCAGTATCTCGAAGGAACAGCTTTAGATTTTTACGATTATAAGTATCCGGAAAATAATCCCGAAAATTGGGAAGACTTCGAAGAAAATTTTAGAGAATGGTATGGATTAGGCGAAGGACAAGATACCGCATATAATGAATTAACTAATGCATACCAAAAATCAGATGAGAGACCGTCAGAATTTGTTACGAGAATTTTGGGTTTATCAAAGAAATTACCGGGAGATAATACCTTAACGGTAATGAACCGTATAAGAGTGGGTCTAAGAGATAATTATTTAATTAATCAAGTTTCGATGGCGAATAATCCCGAAGAAGTTAGAAAATTTTTAAGAAATAAAGAAACAACCGAAAGACTCAGAAGATTGAATGAACCGAAGAAAACATATCAAAGAAATGATATCGTATTTAGATCAAGAAGAAGAGAAGATAATTCAACCGG